TTTAACTCCTTCAACGTTATTTGAGCGTTTCTGATAAATATCTTCGTATTCTAGCAGCATAGCTTCTAAAACTGACTGCTGTTGCAACTTCTGCAGTCCACTTTGGTGGTCAGTGTTGCACATAGGGTATGTGTTTTTTTTTGTACATAGTGCCATGGTCAGGGCTATGTCACTCTAGTATCTATCTCTATTTGTATTAAAATCAGTTTAGTTTACGTGAGTATGAGTTAGAAGTGGTACTGTTACCAAAAGTGCATCTTTCGTTCTTCTCTCAAGTTCATCACTCATATATTTTTCTCACTTCTCTGTTTGCAGCCTCTATGTTTTCTTATAGATCACAAAATTTGGCCTTATGCTCTCTGCTTATCAATGACGAATCTTGAATGATTCTCACAGCAGCGTTGTGTAACGCGTATATTCTTTCCATTTTTAAGCTTACTTTTCATTTTTAAAAAGACAACCTTGACAACTGCCTTAGTCTCCTTTTCCGTATTGTCAATTATCTCACACCTTTTTAATTCTATTTCTGATTTCAGCGTTGACCATCTTGTATCCATTTGTTCTCCTCTGTTAATAATTCCGCATACATCAAACCTATGATCATTTATTTTGTTTCTGCTATTCGCCAAGAGGTTGTTTCCTGTGCCTATTGTCTTGATTCTCTCAAATGTATCCGTTTTACTCACACGACATACTGTGGCCTCATGTTTGGAATTCAGCTCACCCCCAAGTCAGTGTATTATAGTGAAATCCCGTGGGATCACTGTATCTGGAGAAATAATTCCTATGCCCCCTATTATCAACGTTTACTACACCGTGTTTTATATCTAGGTCTTGATATTTTGTCTCTTTTATTTAGCTGTGGCAGCTGAAAAAGAACAGAGGGTAAATAGTTAAGAGGGTAGAGACTATTTCTTTTACCTGTCTTTGGATCCTGCTCTGATTTATAATGACTAATATATCTTTCTCCTTGCTCTCGAATTGTTTTATCTTGTGATTTGTTGTTAAAACAGAATCCCTAGGATAATGTTAACTTAAGTCTGTTGTCTCGCGTGATTAATGCTTCAGATGTTAAGAAAATAATACACTCAAAGGAAAAGTGAACAAAAATATGAATGTAAGAAAAAACAATTTTCTCGAATCTATCTTTACCTTATAAGATTCTCTTTTTTCTTGCATTAGGAGCAAGGGGTAGAATGTATGTTATTATACATATATATAAACGTGCTCGTGGATATGCATACTAGTAGGAATTAAATTTTAGAGATCATTTCTTTTAAGGGCTCACCGTTTGTCTGCCTTAACATGTAATAATTCGTGGTTGATGTTCTAGTCTTTTCGGCTTCTGGGCTGTTGTTATCACAGCTTGTTGACTATGATCAGTACTGTCATGTTTGATTAAATACTCAGCCTTTTGTTTATTGATCGTCGTATTCTTGTGGCATTAGGCTATGTGTGCTTCTTGGCAGAACTTTATTTCCCTGAAAGAAGAAAAATAAGAAAAAAATTCATGACTCTTATCATACCCCACAATCACCACCGTATCTGTTACAAGAAGAAGAGCTTGTCAAGGAGATGCGTCCCAAAAATATTTGATATTTTGTGACCTACTTCCTTGTATTTCTTATTCAGTATTGAAAAAAAACGAATAATACAATCCATCGTTAAAGTCTTGATCAGAGCACCATTGGTAGATGAATATAAAATGGCTAGCTTATGATTATAACGTCTCACATTAATTGACACGATAGAAATTGGCAACATTTTACCTTTTCAATAGGCACTTGTCAAAAAAATACAATTGATAGTCCAGGCGGGAGGTGCATAATGACAATGATGTTACCAGATAGATATCACGTCAGACAACAACAAGATTACCACCTAGTCTTGATTGGTATGTGGCCCCACACTATCACCCCTGATCTAACGAAGAAGGCAGCATTTAGCATTGAGATCGCTCTGGCATCTTTAGGATCTGGTGATACATGTATATGGGCTCTATCATCCTAAGTTCAGCTCTGGCTTGACGCAGCTTATCAGTTTTTCTGGCTCTTGAAATTAAGATCCACTTGAGTGGGTATTAGGGTACGTCTAGAACAGTGTTAAAATAATTTTAACAATATCTTAACTACATAATTTATGTTGCTTAAACGGACCACTATCTTCACTTAAGCGCACAGCTTGTATTGCTTAAATGCACAATTTATAGTTTTATAAGCGCACCATTATTATTGCTTGTAATGCAGAGTTTTATTTGCCTAAATGCACATGTTGTGGTTACTTAAATGCACTATTTCTACTAGCTTGAATGTACCATTTATTACTGCTTAAATGCTAAATACTTCTTTGCAACTTATGTTTGTTTGATAAATTATTCATAGACATTGGCTAATAACGTCAATTACTATTATATATCAAAAAGATGTGTATTGCTCCATTTTGTTTAACTTTTTATTGTTCTTGTGATTTCTATAAGATTTTTTTCATGACTAGCTATCATTATTTCGTTCGACAGTTTAATTATTCGTGGTGTGACGGAAAAATACTGTCTGTGTCTCTCGATTTTAATTATTACCATCGTTATTAACTATCTTTCTTTTTAGTTTTTGAAACATATTAATTTCTTATTGACCTTTTTTTTAATTCATTTATTCTAATCCAACTTACTGCTTAGAGCATATTTTGTATTTTAACTAGCTTTAATATAGGATNTGATATAAAACCTTGCAGTAAAATTTCTGGCTTAATTTATTTTATAAACCACGGTGATTAATGCCTACTTTTGTTGTTTTCTTCAATTATTTTCAACGTTAGCGGCCCTATCCTTGAGTTTTTAGTGAGCAGAGCTTTTCTTTGATTGATGATTCATATGCGAAAAGGGAAAAAATTAGATCGTAAGTAGCAAGCGAGTTCCAACTTTTTTTTCTAAACCTCTTTTATCTTTTTTTGCAAAGGGGGTCAAACATTTGCAATTCCTTCTTTTGTGCCTTCATGCCAGAGCACAGAAAGCGTTTTTTTTTTTTTTTAAGTTGGGCGTTCATCCAGGTATTGCCCGGATAAGTATGAGACGACTGAAGAAATAGGTGGATCTGGCTTTTTATAAGCTCATTTTCTTTGAATGGAGCACTGCCGTAATTGATGGTAAACTTATACAAAAAAAAAAAATACAACTCATTACGCTCAAGACCTTTATTTAATATCGCATTCATAAGGCAAATCACGCGTGTCTTTTCTTTTGAGGCTCGCCATGTGTTTTCTCAACAGACTCTCTTCCTTCTTATACTTCTCTTCTCTTAACCCTCAAGACTCTTATTACGAGATGCAAGGAGGGGGAGCCTAGAATAAAATTTTTTGTTCTGTACGAGGCTTTGCAATAAGTGAGCTCTGATTTTTCTCTATAAAAAAAAACTTATAATAGGCTTATGAGTAAGTGCATCAAAATGAGAACTTTTGTTTTGTTGTATTCAAAGTACTTCATACCCTATGCCAAGTTTAATAAGAATTATACTTTTTCTTTGATTAACTTTGTTTAAATTAACATTATAATCGTTAAAAACCCTAACTAAAATAAATTTCTCAGTTGTAGCACGTACATAGAAGATCTTATGTCTACGAAATGTCATAACGTCAAAATAAACATTTTTGTATAATTTTTCATGTTTTTTAAAAAAAAGTATCATTTTCTTAAAAGGTGTATATAATGGACGGTTCCTAAAGCTTACAAAATAAAGAAGAATATTTAATTTGTAAGGAATACCGTACTTTGAAGTAAGTATTCTAAGTTTTGCTTTCTTTCAGATTGGAAGAAATTTTTTCATTATTTTGTATGAGTCTTGACTTGAAAACAAGCGTTGTAACAGCAACAAAATCAAAAACCTCAGAACAGTAAGAGATAGTGCCTTGCTAGAATTTAAAAAAAAAGTTCTTAAATCCATTTTCATTACCAAAAACAAGAACTACTAAATCAATTTTAATAAAGTTTTGCATACTCATTTCTAACACGTTGAAGATGGTTTTTGTACAGTTTTTATCTTCAGAATATTTTAGAATAAAAGCATTAAACAAGCCTAAAGTTTTGCCGAAATACACTAGCTTGTTCTTTAGTTTAGGAACATGCACTAGGCAGTACGAAAGTACAAGTATTCTCTAGACTCGCTTTTCTGAGTGACAGTAAAAAGTTAGTTATTTGGGGAACGACCCGATTGCGAGATACTGTTAAACCAGTAGCATATTTTCCTAAAACATGGTCTCAGTACACTAAGACTTTAAAGATAAGAGTTAACTCACCCGCAGCTGGCTTTCCAATATCGCAAATAACAATAAGAGATGACTGGAAGTGTCACTAATGTCCTTTTTTAAGGCCATCCTGATTTCTTACGTTTCCTCATCAGCCATCAGTCTTATCGGTTCTTTTTAAGGCCATTTCACTTTAAGTTACCTTTCCAGAAAAGATATTTTCACAATTATTATCAGCAACAACTTGTCTGATAAGCAACTATATTAAAATTGAAAACAAAAATTTTATAATTATATTATACATATATATAAACGTGCTCGTGGATATGCATACTAGGGCTATGGTTATACAAGTA